ATAAACTCATTCAGAATGACTAGAAAGTGTTAGAAACTGGAGGATGAGATTACCTATCACACCTGGGCACTCAAGAGCACATGTACAGCTGTACCTGATCAGTTCCAGCTGAGCCAGTTCCAGATTGGCTTGAAAAATAGGCTTCTTTGTGAACAGTTCCCCAAGAATACATCTAGAAAAGGTAAAATTGAGAGGTCAGAAGAGAAATTCTTAGAGCCTATTTAAAGTGTCTCAAAAATTTTTTATATTATTAATGTATCAAGTTGCAACAAAGATAACTAGCCCCAAATTTCAGTGTCTGAGTTTCCAAAGAGAAAATATTTCTTACAGTGAAACAGACAGTATAAAAGATTTAAATTTGCCAGCAGATCAAACTTTTGTCACCTATTAAGGACACTCTATGAACAGAGAAAGGGAGTCAAGAGTCCTTTTCTATCATGCCATTGTAAATTAAGGAAATAACTAAAGACAATTTTACAAGGATGCTCAAAATTAAAGAACAATACTAACAAAAAATAAATAAATAAACAAGGATGCTCTCTGTAGTTAGTTTCTATAAAGTTTGTATTCGTTTTTGTCATTAATCTGCTCTATAGAAGATGCATTATACTATAGCCCTCTTGGCACTGTATTGCAAAGAAAATAATTTACTGTCATCAGCTAGGATCACTTGGACTTTTTTAGTTTCATTTTTTGAGATAAGAGTCTCACTCTGTCACCCAGGCTGGAGTGCAGTGGCGCAATCTCTGCTCACTATAACCTTTGCCTCCTGGGTTCAAGTGATTCTCTGCCTCAGCCTTCCAAGTAGCTGGGACTACAGGCATGCACCACCACACCCAGCTAATTTTTTTGTATTTTTAGTAGAATCTAGTGAATAAAACATGAATATATCTCAAATCATTTATGCTGATTAAAAGAGTGGGGGGAGTATATACTATATAATTTCATTTGTATAAAATTCTAGAAATAGAAATTAATCTATATAGTGACAGAAAGCAGAACAGTGGTTTGCTTGGTAATGGGAGGGTATGGGTAGAGGAAAGGGATTATAAAAGAGCATAAGGAAACTGGCGGGTGATCATTATCTTGGCTGTGTTGATGGTTTTACTGGTGGATATATTAGGTAAAAACATATAAAATATATGCAGTTTATACTTCAATAAAAAAGGTTTAAATATTGAATGAATTTGATAAGGCTATACTAAAGTTTTCTGTACTATTCTTGTAACTTTTCCATAGATTGAAATTATTTCAAAATAAATTAAAATAAAGGCTGAGCATGGCAGCTCATGCCTGTAATCCCAGCACTTTGGGAGGCCTAGGCAGAAGGATCACTTGAAGCCAAGAGTTCAGGACCAGACTGGTAACATAGCAAGACCACATCTCTTTGAAATAATAATAATAATAAAAGATTACATGAATATTCTACAGTTTTTGTTATATGCCTGAAATTTTTCATTTTTTTTTAAGTGAGGAGAGAAAAAAAAAGGTCAATCTGTCTGACCTATGCTTTGAAATGAAAAAAAATACAAAACCAAATTTATAGTTTTACTTTGAAATTCTTTAGTTTGACTTAATTTGAGAAAGCAAAACAAATCTAGCTTTTTAAGTAGTATTTTTCTATTAGAATTTGGACCTTTAAACAAATTATGTTAAAACAACTTTAAAGATAAATTCTTACTTCCTGCATTCTCTCAAACCCTATTCAGAGATGGAAAAGTAAAAGTAAAATTTAGGCCGGGCCCAGTGGCTGATGCCTGTAATCCTGGCACTTGGGGAGGCCAACGTGGGAGGATTGCTTGAGCCCAGGAGTGTGAGACCAGGCTGGGCAACACAGTGAGATCTCAACTCTATAAAAATTAAAGAAAAGTAAAATTTAGGCCGGGCGTGGTGGCTCAAGCCTGTAACCCCAGCACTTTGGGAGGCCGAGATGGGTGGATCACGAGGTCAGGAGATTGAGACCATCCTGGCTAACA